GTAGAACGTTAAAGAAATAATACTGGATCCAAATATAAATAAAAAACAAATCTTTAGATTCAAAGTTTGAACCTAAAACCTTGAATAGAAGCCCCATGCATCTAGAGAATAATATATATATTATTATATAGTATTTTGATACACATTTATAAATTCTCTACTTAATATTTATTTTAGTATATAAAAGAAGTATTCAAAGCAGTGCAGAGACATTTTCCCATCTGAACTATTTTGATTAGGAAAGAAAGTTCTTGTGAAATTAGAAAATCTTCTTATATATAGCTTTAGAAAGTTGCAATCCCAATCCTATTATCAATATTTTGTCCCAGGGCTGTGATTCAAGTGTGTAAAAATTGTTCTACAGTATCATATAAAATATTAACTTGTCCCGGCCTATTGATATCCCAGGCCATTTCAAAGTTGAAAGATAGAGGGCACTATGTCGTACTGTGTGCATTGAAGTCATAAGGCCTACTCCCATAAATAAACAGGATGAATGACATCACCACAATCTGTTATTCGCCTCTAGGATCACACCCATTTATAATAACAACAGACTCTCATTAATTTGTTCTCATATATGCATATGGGTTTTTCTGATTTTATTTTGTTTGTCTCACTAGTGGAAGCAAGTGGTAGTAGAGACGCAAGACTTTAAAGCTTTAAATCTATTGTTTAGGGTCTTTATTTTGGGAATCTTTCAGAAATTAGTGAAGGTTAAAATGCATTTTCCTATGCTGAAGGCTAAGACATCAATTTATACCCCCTCATGCACAAGGGTATTGAAGTTTACTCTGGCAGTTGCCAAGGAAATGAATAGATTTTGATACACTACCAGTAAATTACATTGAATAAACTGTCAATTTGTGACGGTTCAAGCATAACACAAAGCATTTTAGTAGCTTCGTGCTCATAGAAAATGTAAATCTATATCGAAAACTAAACATTATGAATAATGTTATTTTGGTCTTGTTAAATTTTCCCACTTTTGAGCTTCAAGCGACAGCAACAACAAAATTGAAAAAATGTTGGCAATAATTTTTCACTAGATAATAATAATAATAATAATAACAATAACAATAATAATAATAATAATAATAATAATAATAATAATAATAATAATAATACTAAAACTAATAATAATAATAATAATAATAAATATGATTTCTATACTTTAATTATTTTGTTTCCCACACAAATTAAAAATTGTTATGGTTCATAGAAAGGTATTGCGATGATAATTTATGAATTATTTTAAAGAATAACATTGCATGCATATACTCATGGTCGTTCGGTGTATTAAAATATTGTTTTTGCTAAATGAGAAAGTTAAATTTCTGAGCTAGTTTTTAACTAGTTAAAAATATCTAATAATATTAGAGAAAATTATTTCTGACATGTGGAACAGTGATTTGCCTCACCATACCATGCCACATAACACCATAGCACAGCAAGACATCATTAGCAATATGATAGTGGTTCATCAGTTTTCAACATACCACAGATGTATTTCACATTCCTACTGAATCTAATTACATTAGTGACAGTCCATGAGAGAAACTACAAATGAGAAATTCTTGTATATGATGTTGCTATGAACCGCTACTTTAAACTTGAGAATATGTTGGAGTGAAGCTTGCCACCTAAACCAGAATTCTGGGGACAAAACATGTCATACTTAAAATAGCTGTACCAACTAAACACCACTCTACTTTTTAGTCTCATAAAGCAACTTAGTTTATAGAACACTATTCTGTAAGTGGCGAATCACATGTTGAGAATTTATAAAAATAAAAATACAGATATCTTCATAAATTCTTACTGTAAGGAAAGAATGGTTGTCGCAGGCCCGTAAACCTTTTTTGACAAGTTTACTGTAACTGTAGCAGTATTTTATAAACTTTGTTTATTAAAAAAACACTTTGGCGTATAGGAAATCCAATAAACCTGATTATAGGCCTGTTGCGCCATACTGGGTTTCAAGATAGCTGCATACTTAGTACAAATTTATCACAATTCTATCAAGAACTCAAGTAACTCTTGGTTCAGTGGGGAGGGGGGTGAGATCTTCTCATTCACATGATCCTACTTGGTACAGGCCTGCTCATGTTTCAATCAAACAAGTTGCGACCCATTTTATTTGTATTTTGTTATACTAAACAAAATATGGCTCCTATAAATAATACTTTCTTGACAAAAACTGTATAATTTAAAATTAAGTCCAGAACTATGAAGAAATATGATTCTAAAAGATTATGAGAAAAGATAATATAAGACAAGATGACAAAAATACATATAGCTTAGAAATGACTGATGATAAAATTATCATAATAATATTATTCATATTTCTGATCTCACACGTAGTATTGATTATAAACCAATAAATATCATTTTGGTAGAACAAACCTCATCTTCACAGTGTCCATCAATGTCCTCCAGAGTTAATGAAGTGCCAAGGCTGTTCATTGCTAGAACTTGCTTGTTACCTGCAGAAGAGATGAATGTTGTTATGACAACCAATTGCAGGGGACTTCTCTAATCTAAATAAACATCAATTAGAATGGAAGCTTCTAGTGGTTATAGTCATTTAATTTTTTACATATGGATGGGATCACATGATCATAGGCCAATGGCATCCAACATTTTAGTGATCTTCAACTGGAGTATGGGAGCTGTAATTCACTTCAATCGATTATTAATTATTTTTGCATAAAACTAACACAGCAAACAAACACGTGCTACCAAGAAACAATCAAAACTAAATACATAAAGGCAGTGATGGCTGCAGAAATTTGATTTAAAAAATTTGAATTTACATGTATGGCCATGGTACAGTACAACAGGGGTCCACGACTGAAACCCCTGGTGGTGTTAAGTGGTGCATCCCCTTGTGGCTTGGAACAATTCTGGAGTTTAGGATGGTAAAACTATGTTTTTAGATACAAACACAATATTTTTGGAATGACACAAATAGTTTCCCCTAGACACCTACAAATAGGTGGCACCAATCAGGGAGGTATACCAACACTGCCTAAAGGTAGAGCTCTGCTGTTTACCTGCATGACCTTGTTATTCAGGTAGCTTCATTAATCATTCATACCTAAGCTATTACTAGCTACCTGTTACAATTACTGAAACCATTCCAAATATTCAAAATCAATATTCTAGGGATTCAGAACCTGAACAACAGGTAAACGAGGCCTAGACACTGGCATACTATACTTTAATAACATGATTCCATGACGTGTTAATGAGTAGATTAATGTAATTAGTAGCCTGAAATTCAGAAACAGGCACATAAAAAGCTAAATTTAGTCTGATGTAACAATGAATGTATACTGGGAGTAAAACAGTCTGCAGTGTCCTGAGTCAATTGCAGTATTCCAGTACTTGCAAGTTCAAAAGAAAGATATGCCAAATTTAAATTTTGATTTGTTCATATATTTTGTTTTTCTTCCTAGAAATAATAATCTGATAATATTTTAAATATTATTGGTAGGACTGCAAGGACTTTATTGTTTGTAAATCAAAGTCTGTGAAAATGTAATCTGTATGTTCACATTACTTTGTTTAATAAGTGAGCTCATGTTGTTTTCATATTTTATCGCTTAGTTATCATTTGATATGAAATGAAAATCAAACAAATACAGCAGTTTAACATTCATTGCTGATACAACATTGTACGGGTGACTTTCTGCTACTATTGGATTTAAATGAAAAATAAAGCGTGGAAATACACCCCTCCCCAAAAGGTGCATCCTTAGGTGCTGCTCACACCTCCCTTCCCTGACCGGGAATTTGCTTAGCACTGAAATTGTACTGAATCACCTTTTTTTTTAATCCTTGAGCCCCTCCCCAACTTAACCTTCCCCACCCACCCCAACAACAGTCATTCCATGTCCATGTCAGAAAATTGTGTATTCTATCAGATATAGTCAAACATAACCTGTTGATTCTGACAGAAAATAATCTGTGCAAAGCATAGTATAAAATGTCCAGTTCACAGAGACTGCATATGCACTTTAGAAGTCCCCAACCATTTCCTTTATTAAAATTAAACGCAGATTTTGGTTATTACTTACATTTTTCTACTGCTGCCATATCATTAATTATTTGTACACCGTCGCAAAATGAGTTGAAACTGATCTGTCCACTACCTTCAGGATCCAAAAGTTGGATAAGACCAACAATCTCCTACAAAGATAAAAATAAGAGTTTTTATATTTAGTGTATACATGCTTGTTGGATGCGGGCGTATTCCTGGCACCATTCTGATTGGTCAGTTTTAAGGTTCTGACACTCCGGAAAGGTCCATAGGAGTAGGACGCAGAACGCCCGGTAGGACAGTCACGCATGAGTGATTCCGTTTTAGCGTCGTTTCATCCAACAAACTGAAAGCTCACTACTGTCGGTCCTACTAAACACCAATTAAGACTACAAGAGAGTACTTTTCTACACCCAAGATAAAATTGTGAAATAATAATTCTATAATAATAAATTGCAAAGTACTGAGCATGAAGACCTAAATTTCAAGCAGACTAAGAACACATTGACAAAATAAAGTATCTTCCAAGGGAAGCAAAGGTGCAGATTATTGTATCCTGTATAGCGAGTCATTTCGGATAGATGCCTCCATGTTAGGAATTCCTTTATCCTTGACTGAGGAATATGAATTATAATTATCAAACTTGTTCACTCTTATCAATTTCCTGGAATGTCTATACATTGGTCAAACTTTATAAAATGTAATGCAACAGTAACAGTAGATCAGGGGTGGGCATAAAAATGGGTCGGAGGGCCAAAGCGAATTTTACACCCACACCCTGGTGTTTCCAGTGCACTTCTAAAAACCTCCATGCACTGCTTTTATAAAGTTTTATTCTCAGTTTTCACGTTACTTTTCACAGATGATCGGTGTCGGCTAGGAAAAACAAGATGTTCTTCTAGCAAATGATGGTTGGCAGGTCGCACAAATAGGGTTTTTAATTCTGTCTATAGCTTGATAATCAGACAATATACTAAAGTACTTCATTACAGAGTACAATATTTGACTTTAGCAATTGACAATTTTATGTTAAAATAAAAATTAAACAGGTTATGAATATTGTTAGTCAGGAGGACAATGTAACTGAGGATTTGAGGAAATCCCAAGGAAATATACATAGCCTGGACCGGAAAAACTAAGCCAAATGAACTTGGATGAGGAAATTAGTGAGAAAAAGGGTCAATTAAAACTGTAAAATTAGAGAGTTTAAATTATGGTTAAAATATTTATGCTTCCTCTGAAAAATCATTTTTAAAAATTTTGTCTTTTAAGTTTTTAAAATTATAATAATTATTTATCTCAAAAAGAACATTTAAAAGTAGCAGATAATTTCCCAAATCTTTAAAAAATAAATAAATTACCGTATTTATTTAATGCCCGGGGCATTTATTGTAGAGAAGGGTTTTTGAGGGGCATTTACTTGTGGGCATTTTTGGTGCAAAATGGACACCTATACCTAAATTAATGCCCCTTAATTTCACTGTAAAAGTGGAACTACAACACATAATTACCGTCAAAATATTTAATTGCAAGATCATTGAGACATTATTGATCTCAACCAGGTTAGAAAAAGTATAATTCTACTGGAGTAGAACATTAATAGAATGTGTTAAGAATGATGTTGCTTCCATGGCGTTTACAGTCATTTAGGGGGAGTGTTTATTTGAGGAAAAAAAAAACACCACAGAGTATTTATTTGAGGGATTTCTTATTTCAAAATAGGCTCTAGAAAAGGCATTTATTTAATGGGAGGGGGAGGGAGGGTGTTTATTCACATAAATATGGTATATAAATAAATAAATATTAAATTCATATATTATAATGTGAATTCATGCACTAAAGAGACGTTTTTCTATGAGGCCATACACAGATATACCAAGGAGATATAAAAAATATTTTTTACATCTCCCTGGTTATACACTGCTTGAATTGTACAGAGGAAAGTGTTCAACAATACATAAGATGAACATTATACAATAAATAAGTAATGGTTCTCTTGAATACGTTGCCATACCAACATTATATTTTCTTTAATAAAAGCTGCACTTGAATAAGCTCTGTGCTATTTATATATTTGAATAAACCAATAAGCATAACCAAGCGTAATAACACAATGTACTGAATTTTTATGTTTCATATCATCAGGATACAATTAAATAACCAATTCTCAAGGATTAATGTAATGTACAAGTCAGATACAGTACGGCTATGCACAATAAATGGTATTCACTACCATTACCTCTAGAATAATTTGTACTTACTGTATATTATTAAAAGCAGCTGTTAATAATAGTATTTTTAAAATTGTTTATGGTTTTCCTTATTTGTTTTATAAGCAGGTGATCAAGATGTTAAGCCCTTACAGGCTGAAGCTGATGTGTATTTAGCAGAGGATTAGGTGTAGGCCTATTCACAGAGAATTAACCATACTGTACACTATCTGGTACAAACACTAAATCAAACACTTCAAGAATGTAATCAGATTAGAGAATTAATCAATTTGTTTACCATTTTTAAATGGAAATACTACTATGAACTAAGACAAGGAAAAATTAATTGTCATATATCCTTCATTTTCAGATAGAGAAGGGAGTAAACCTTGTTTTTTATTCATTAGGCAAAATCCATAAACAAATTTTATAAGGATCCAAACATTATCAACATTTATCATTATGATCAGAACAGTAGAATAAAGTGACTTTCATTTTAAAAGAATAAGGAAAAATAAAATTATGACATAACTATAGACTGTTATAATTGGCAATTACTACATTACTGTTGTGATTATAAAATCAGTGGATGAAAATCAAGCTTCTGATAGTTCCTCACAAGTGGGACTTATGAATCATCAGGCCTAGAATCAATACATTTATTTTGATAACAAAACTCCTCTTGCACACAGCCTGTTGTCTAAGGTCCACATATTGTGGCATGCTTTTGTTAGTTAACACATCATTAAATAATTCTTATTTGCATTTTCTCAGTGTGACTTTTAACAAAAAGACCCTGATGGACTATCTCTAACATACATCAACAACTTACGCACGATCTTTGAAAAGAGATTCTTCCCTACATAAAATTAAAGTCAGAACCTTCTACTCAATGAGTCGGGACAAAGAACAAACTTATCGCACATTTGTAAAGTAAACATACACACCTATAACAAAAGCATTGTGAATGATAAAAACATTTTTTGAGTCTTTAATTATTCTGATCAATCTTCCTTCTTAAATCTAGAATTTACAACTTAAAAATTATAATTAGTAATTGATTAGTATGATGAACAACATGCCATTCATGGTATTGTCCTGATAATAAAACTAATTTTGAGGAAAAAGAGAAGCAAAAATAGTTATTGATCGGGAAGTCAGGACACCATTACTAAAAGAGGATCCATAGTGGATACAATATTGTGCTCTTTAATACCGGTATGATAAAATGACTAAAATTGTTAGGGGGTGGGATTGACTGGCAGAGACGGATTAGGGTCGTAGCAGCCGGCAGGGAAAGCGGCCACAAGTCGATACACAGCAATTTGTATGGAGCGCCAAGCGCGCAGTACTGTATGCAAAATGTATGTTGGACAATGGGCATCAGAGTTCGATATTAAACTTTAAATGACTTCTTTACTTATTTATTCGAATTTTACTAACTTGTGTTCAGTTTGTTCTTTAGTGAATGAACATCTGTTTGTCATTGCATTTGACCTATGTTTTTCACGTTCATCACATTTTATTACATTGTAAATTTAGTATTGACAGATCCCATGTTGAAATCCGTTTGTGTCCTGAATGAAATATAAAATAAAAGTTCATTATACATAAAAATCCGAACTGATACCATATAATAAATATCAATTTAATCATATCATAATTCAATTATGTCATGTACGTACAAAAATGTTTCGATCTGTAATCAATCTGTAGACAAATCAATCTTTAATTAATCAATCAATAAATCGGTATAGCGCTACTGGTGTTCCATACATTTTGAGCGCGGCCACTTTCCCTTGTGGCCGCTACGACTTTACTCCGCAGAGTCATGACCAAGCATGAGAACAAGGCAACAAAATGAAAATTTACTATCAACTGTACAGCATGTATGGTGCCCTACCTTTTACAGTAGTTTTGGCAAGGACCACTGGAAAGTCCATCATGTCATGTTTCAATACTGTACCATTTTACTTTGTATAGCTTTCAATGAAATTTCAAGGAGAGCATTTGTTTATAAATTAATGTTTAATTATAAATTGGAAATAAACAGGATATACATTGCCTATACAGGGTACTAACTACTAAATTAGCTAGCCTATGATAGATAGACGAGCCTCTATCTACTACCTGCCGCCAACCCTTAGCTTAGTTGGTGGCCTGATGTATTGTATGGATAGGGTGCAGGCTATTACCGTTTTTAATAAACTTAAAAATCTAACGAAAACGTCCTGATTCACTGTCTAGATATTTGAGTCGATCTTTGCCTTTTTGTAAACTCAAGAAAAATCAACACAGATCCAAATATTTGGAAAAATACCGCCATACTAATATTAGGCTTTTACGAAAGAAGCTAGGCTAGACGTAGCCCCAGTCTACATCCTCCTCATCATCACACTCTTTCCTACCACTTACCTTGTGTCTAGCTTCTCCGAAATGCTCCTTGGCTATGACACAGAAATGATCAGCATTGATGCTTCCGCGACCATCAACATCAAAGGCCTCAAAAACAATTTTCAACTGTTCTAAAATGTCAGCACAGTCTACCATGACAACTATGGGGTATATGGAATTATAAAATATTTGGTTTAACTACAAAACAACAGCATTTTATGTATTGCTTTTCCACGAAATGATCTTTCCCCGCACACTCCAGTCAAGACTTCTGGTTGTCGACGACTCAATGTTTATGTTTGCCACGCTTGGTTGATTGATTTAAATATATGAATATTCAATATCGAAGTGGCTACGTCACATAAAAACAAATACAGTACAGGTACACTGTCTGTGTAGTGAATCATAGAGATAGAGCTATTTTATACCTGCATGATTGAATCAAGCAGTTCGTTTTTTGGAGTGTGCATAATTATTATTTAGTAATATATTGATTAAACGGCAAGCTACTTTCATTCATAAACGTGTATTTCTTTCATTGTAAATAGTATAATACAAAAAAAAAGTAATCAATAATAGCAATAGTATTTAAAACTAAAATAACTATTGCCTACATTTTCAAAATAAGCCTACTGTATTTACAGATGCTTTACAAAATCTGATTGCAGAAATTTATGATTATACTATAAAAGGTAGTATTTAAACTCCTGTTAACTTGACCACGAAATTTATTCTTATTTTTCAAATGAAAATACAGTAATAACGTATTGAACTGGCCTAGGGGCCTAAGTCTATAAGCAGTTCAATATTCCTTTGGTTTGCTAAAAGTATGTAGATTTATTAGACTTCACAATAAAACCCATTCTTTGGGACACCGCAAATCACTATTAAGGGGGGACACTGCTATTAAAGGGACTGTGCACATTTCTGAGTGTTAACTTACAAATTGAAACCAGAAAGTAGTAGTCATTCTTAAGCTTTGCATATACCTTTAAATTTCTGGCAGCAATTTTAAGGATTTTTGTAGTAAAATATCTGTTAATAAGTGGAAGAATTTGTAATTTTTCAGTCTATGACTTGATAATGAGAGTGACTGAGCGATAAGGCAGGGACACCGCTAATTACAGCCTTAACATCAGCACTGGTCAAGCAGGATTTGGTTGGTAGAACAAAATCTTCTTTGATAAGTGAGGTGCAGTGTACACACCTGGCTTGTGTGCACATTGATGAATCTACTGCATCCTTCTGAAGAGTAGGGGGTTACTAGCTGTGCATTTTAGCCCGTCCTTGTGGAATGATGTCAACATGTGCCCTCCCTACGACTGCTACAGCAGTCACAAACCACTCCCATAGCATTAAGCACAATGCAAATCTTTTAAATGACCAATTGCTCTTTTCAAAGGATGCAATCCTAGGTGCACACAATGAGTTCTGTGTAGTAGTCTTTGGGTTTTTCTTCCGTATTTCATGTAAATACCGCTGCTGTTCAAGTCACTTGGTTCGCTCAGTAAGGCTATTTATCCACCAGTGAGTTATAATGAAATTCTTGTTCTACATGGATTACAAAAACACAATGAAAGGTAAGTATTTATGCACTCAATGCGTGCCATACCAAACTTAAATCAAGAACATCCTGGATCCCTGGTGGTGCTGTCAAAAAGGCAGTAATAAGCAACTTTTTAATAACAAGTCTGGGACACAAGTAACCAATGAATCTCCACAAATATATTTTATTTATTTCATTCATCAAAGAAATCAAATAATATTTAGAAATACAAATCATATTACATTATTAATGGAATGTTTATTAGGAATTGCAGTATTACTTCTGCTGGTGATAATGTTGTGTGACTTACAGGTGTGTTTTTCTCTGAAAACTAGTAAAAATTTACCTATATTCATCAGTTGGTATTTGAAGTTCTAATTATCTTTAAAAACATTTTCAGTTTTTTTTTTTAATTCCCCTCTCATTAACTCAGTTCAATGATTTAAGCAATATGAATTTGACTGCAACAAAAGTCAAGACTATTTTTATACCTCGTTTTGCAAACCTGCCTCTCACAGATGATTCCAATTTGAATGATAAGAAATTTAATTTTTAGTCTGTTAGTTCACTTGCTGGCAAAATAAAAAACTTATATTTGAGGCTCAGTGTACACAATTTGGCTCATATGCACTCAAAACAACCCAGTACATCTTTCAAGAAAAGTAGGGAGTTACCCTGGTGTACTGGTCCATGCAGCCCCTGCTGTGGACAGAGATAGCTGGTACAGGTTTACCGGGGAGCTCAGACACAAAGATACCGTGAGGGGAGTAGCAAGTTATTGTACGAGCTGGTCCACACCTAAAGTGCTTTTGTGACTTCCGTATAAAGTGCTATATAAATTCAACTACATTACATTATATAACTTGGTATTTGATTGATTGATCGAACGAGGTATAAAAAGTTTGTGTCATGACATATACAGAAATTAGTAGTTAAGATGTCTTCCCCAGTTTTTCTGATTATAAAATAAATATCACTTCTTTAAGACTATATAAAATATTCAAAATTCATACAAAATCACTGTATATAAAAATAAGGTTTGCTGCGGCAGTGGAGAGTTCAAACATTAAAAATATACTGAATTACAACATTGCTTTTAACACAGCTACAAGCTGTTAATTCAAACCCTGAATAAATCTACTTTACATCCTATTTCTAAGTAGAGTGTAGGAAAATAGCCACCGATGACAAAACTACTAGAAAATAGGCTATATCATTGGGGTAATAAATATGTCTAAGTCATATCTGCAAGTAATATCTACATATTAGTTTTACATCTGCATGAGATATTCACATATCAATTATGTAATTATGTAAGGCAAGCTGAACTGAAACGTAAATGAATATCGTAGTTTAAAATATATTTAGATACTAAAATATCTCAAATAGATATTTTAATTAAAAACTAAGATAAACTGTATTTCCCATTATGCAAGGGTTTGGCCAAAGAAAAAACAGTTGATGTGTTAGGTAGTCTTCGCCGCACGACTTTAACCTTAACGGATAACGTCATAATTTATTCATTGTGTTGTGGAGTATGTGAATTTCAGGATTTTACGTGCTCGATGTACATTAGTTACAGGTTTGCGCATGAGTATTTCGATTTGTTTACAAAAAAGGGAAGAACTATCTCGTTGCATGTTGTGTACTAACGTTTAAGTGAAGGTTAACGTTGTGCAGCGAAAACTACCTATTAAGTTAATTTTCTCCTTTTTTCTATACGGCCTAGGCCTAAGCCTACAATTAATTTATTGAATGTGATTGTTGTCATTTTTTGTACTAATCCCTGTGGAAGAACAGTAGATTTCCTACTGAACAGGTTCCCCAGTAGAAAGACTAAAGACCCTTATTTAAAAATATATATATACCATCAATTATAAAATGTAGAAAAACCTCAAAAACTAATCAAAATACAGAATAACTCAAATAAAAGAATCATAACTTCCAATGAAACACAAACCAAAACAATTTACAAACATCCTTAAATCGATAACCAGCCAATTTAAAGTCAAAGGTCAATGCAATGAAATTTGAACTGTCAGTTAATACGCAAAGAAGATATAGAGCATATCATTCTAATTTTCAATTGAAAGCTAAAAATTTACCTTTACATATTACACAATTACAAATTTTATTTTAAGTACTTCAGCATCACAGATGGTATATCTTTAAGGTAAAATTATATCGGGTTATTCCGCATCCTCAAACTGGCCTGGTTGATTATCATTGAACAAAGTCCGTCCTAGTTGCAAGCACATGGGGTGGTCTTCTGCCGGAATGAAAAAGAAACGGCTCGGTTCCGGATTAGGATACACATAATTATACTCGCGTTCTAAAAAAAAGGTACAAGGAATCAATACAAGACATTAAATCTGTAGAATTATTATTCATTATTTACCTCATACATAGATTCTAGGCATCTGATTGGTTAAGAAGTGGGTGTTGTTGAAATTGAGGATATGAGCAAAGAGCTAGCCCAGACACACTCTTTGATCGCCTACTGTAGGCATAGGCTAGTGTTTAGGCCTCTAGGCTAGGCTATGAAGTAAGTACTTTTTTAGGCCTTGTAGAACATATGTATGAGGTATACAAAACAAATATTGACTGCTCTATATTTGGGGAACGGTGAAGTCTATTGCCCCTCGGTGATGTGGAGACTGTAGTATATCTTCCCCCACGAAGATAGGCTACAGTCTGCCCTCGAGTAGATAGGCTACGGTCTCCGCATCACCTCGGGGCAATAGTTTCACCATTCCCCTCTCGAGCAGTCAATATTTGTATGCGAGAGAGAATACACATTATATAAAACATAAAGGAAAGGAAAAAAATAGAAATGATTAGCACACCACCCAGGACCTAAAAATACACCATTTTATAAAGCTATATCCAGACTTCACATTTGGTTTGATAAAAGACATGTGACATGCCTAAATATGGTCATGATGACATCACATATCATGACCATATATAGGCACATCATGACTTAATATGGGGACACAACAGTTTTTTGGCAAATATAATCTCATAGTCTGGACAGGGCTTAACACACTTAATTAGATCCTCTCATTTGATTGGTCAATTAAATATCATTGGTTATTTACAGCATTCAATGGCAAAATAATCACATTATTTATATTGCACCACTCTTCACTAAAATTTAGTTTCATTTCCATATATTTTTTCCATTACATGCTGATAGGCATTTTTAATCAGTAGAATTATTATTCACTATGTGAATAATAATTCATGACCATTTGAATGGTGGCATTAATACCATTGGTTATTTACACAATTCAATGGCAAAATAATTTTTGTTTCATTTCCATATCTTTCTTTGCATTACATGCTGACAGGCATTTTTATCCAGAAAATTAAATCCTGGCTATGAAATGAAATGACATCACTGCAAAATTAATTTTGCCCTAGGTTGGCATATTATTTCATAAAATATCAAGTGACAAGGATCTAATTTAAGTGTATTATAAAAAAATATGTTTATGCTCCTTACCATATGGACCAGTATCTAACTCATCCTCCCAGTTTTCTGGTTCTGCATTGTTGTCACAAATTATTACATTACTTGGAGCCCCTTCAACTTCATTATCATCACCTGAAAGCATCAATAAAGAAATGCATACTACAAAAATATGGGTTATCTGGTGTAAGATATTTCTACCTAGGATCAGAAACTTACAAATTACATTGGTTCATTCTGCATCCTCAAACTGGCCTGGTTGATTATCAGAGACCGAAGTATGTTTAAGGTCCCAAAACACAGCATACATACTGTACTTAAATATGTGCGACATGTCTGTCTGTGGGGCAACAAATGTACTTGTGGGACAACAAATGTATTTGTGGGACAACAAATGTGTTTGTGGGACAACAATGTGTTTGTGGGACAAAAAATGTGTTGTGGGACAACAAATGTATATGTGGGACAACAATGTGTTTGTGGGACAACAAATGTATATGTGGGACAACAATGTGTTTGTGGGACAACAAATGTATATTTGGGACAACAAATGTGTTGTGGGACAACAAATGTGTCTGTGGGACAACAAATGTATATGTGGGACAACAAATGTGTTTGTGGGACAACAAATGTGTTCGTGGTACAACAAATGTGTCTGTGGGACAAAAAAAGTGTCTGTGGGAAAAGAAATGTGTTTGTGGGACAACAAATGTGTTTGTGGGGAAACAAACGTGTTTGTGGGACAACAAATGTGTTTGTAAGACAAGCACATGTTTCTGGCTCAGTTCTGATTGGTCACTTGTTAAACTTGATTGACATTCCAGAAAGGTTAAAAGAAAAACAAAAAGGTGAAGCATTATTTTACCACATTTTTCTTCTTCTTCATCATATTCATCTTCATCCTCTTCTTCGTAACTATCACTATTTTCCCTATATTTGCTGTATTGTGTACTCTTTCGCCACATCGCCATTCCCTGCCTCACAGCATGTTCCAGAGCGTGTGTATTCCATTCTGCTTCCTCCTGGACTTCCTCCTCAACTTCTTTAGTTTCATCATGTGAAAAAGAAACCTGGAAATTAAAAAAAAATAAATAAATATTAAAAATTAACAATAATAATCAACATTTGAAGTTGAAATAAGTCTTTCCTATTACTATTATCATCACCACCACCATTGCCACAACCACTATTAGACCATCATCATGTAAATCAATCAATCAATCGATCGATAATCGTATTAGCAAAAAAATAATCACCAAACCTCCTCAATAACTGGTTCAAAATGATCTGCTCGTTTCTTTCCTCTCCAATTGTTTGAAAAGTCTGGGTTACGTTCTGCATACTTATTCCCACGAAATATTTTTGGAATATCATTAATGGACATTTTCATACAGTTCTGAGAAAAAAAAATTAAAAATGTGAGAAAGAACAATTACATCAGCTACTCAAGAATTTTGCCTTATTATGTATGAATAGTGGCGGGGTCAGCAGGGACCCAGGGATGCCCATCAGGAAACTCTGGAAAAATGCAATCATTTTGTTAGGAAATAATGATATGAAAAAGTATTTTTACATTCTGATAGTGCTACTTTAAGGCATCTAGAGGTGCCTTTTCTAAAAATTTGCTCATCTCAGCTGTAATCATAGTTGTTCGTATTTTATCTTAAACAATTTTTGCAATGTCTGTACACAACAGCCAGCCTGAACATAACCCAAATCACTCAAAGCCCACCACTGCCATCAAAGTTTGAAGATAGCTGTACCCAACATGCATACATAGGCATCCAGTCAGAAAAAAAGGGATTGATGTCACAGTAGTGAGTATTGGAAATGATCAGCATGAAAATGTGTTAATTTTCTCCAAAGATAGAAAAATCACATTCATGGTTTGGAATTATTTTTTCAATATACTGTAGGTTAATGTCAGAAGATGTTTGGCATGGTGGGAACGGTTTGGTTTTCCAACCTCAAGGCCAGGGTTCAATCTCTCCCTGTGCCTGTGAGCAAGTCACTATATCTACATTGCTTAGGTATACTCAGCTCTACACTTCATGCTAAGAAACTCGGAACAATTTCAAGCATTAAGAGCCATAGTGGCTCCCAAAGACATAAGCCTCACGCTGCATTGTACGACGGTCATACAACCGTCTGTCGACGAATTTAAATCCACCTCCTGTGAGCACTTTTTGTGGCAGTGTGAACAGATCGTCATTAAAAATGACCTGTTGTGTGGGCATCGTGGCTTTACGTTCTCCATGGAAAAATGTCGGCCGATGACAATTCTATAGGTTACTATCAATCAATTTACCTCATCAATATCTAGGCCAATTAGCTTGTTCATCACTTTCAGACAAGTAGGAATTGAAGTGAGTTTATTGCAGAACAAGTCTAAGTACATCAGGTCGGTTAGCTTGTCAAACGACACTGGAAGTTCTGTAATCTAAAATTTTTGAAAGTTGTATAAATATTAATCATTGTTATTGTTATGCAAATCATGATACAATATTTCAATATTTAAAAACAAACTTAATAAAATGTTTGCAAAATTATAAAGCTGTTTCATAAACATTCATGAATATATAAATGTATGATTTAGATTTATAAACTAACTTTATACATAAGAACATAAAAAAAAAAAAAAACAAAGTAAAAATAAATGAGCAATAACCAGAACATCTGAGATAATGTATATAGTTAAACTTTGCCTACTTTGAACAATTTCTAAGTCAAACTTATTTTATATGCCAAATTGTTGTGTTTGCAAGTCGAATTTTACCTAAGTCGAACAAATTTTCAATGGCATATTGGATTCGACTTTGGCAAGTTCAACTATACACAGATTTAGAGTTGTGTTTTGTGATTGTTACATGATGCAGGTAGAAACATATGATATACAGGTATGTATAGGACAAATGAAATAAATCTGTATCTGAAAGGAATATTGAGGCTAAATACTAGTTTACAAGTGATACAGAATAACTTAATTATTGTTATTTTTATAACTGAAGAAGAAAAGAATAATTATATCTACTTAAAATATCTATTTGTGAGTAAAGTCCACCAATCAAGGGCAGATAAATGGGACCCACAGTATTATGAGAAATACAGAAAAAAAATGTACTGTCTCTGAATGCAAGAGTGGTGTTATAAATAAAGAGATTTTGGATATTAAATTACAATACCTCATTATTATCCAGCCTAAGTTCTCTCAGAGCTTGAAGCTCTCCAAAATCGTTTGGTAAATACTCTAAATGATTCTGAGAGAGTAAACACTTCCTTAACTTTCTTAATTTACTAAAACTCTTTGGCAAAACATGAATCATATTCTGACACAGATCAACTTCCTCCAAACTGCAGAGGCTTCCAAAATCATCGGGTAAACAATTCAACCGGTTCTCGTCAAGATGCAGTTCTGTTAAGGAAACAAGATTGCCAAAGCCCTCTGACAGCTCAGGGATCCAGTTGCCATTCTGAAATCCCCGGCGTTCCAGCTGTCCTATGACACTACCCAAGTGCACATACTCTAGGTTGACAAGTCTTCCAAATGATGAAGGCAGCTTTGTAATGGAATTACCTGCAAAATCAAACCGCTGCAGGGAGACACTAACTTCTCCAAAGTTGTCAGGAAAAGGATTCCCTTGTAACCAATTATCTCGCATCAACAATATTGTTATCTTTGGAAGCATTGCAAACCATTCTGGTAAAATACATATATGGTTTGAATTTGCATAAAACCTCTCAAGAATCGGTGCAGACTTAAACGAATCAGGTAGTATATTGATCTTATTGTCTGAAATGTCTATGTAATTCAGACTGGCTAAGGTGCCAAACTCTGATGGCAAGCATTTGATTTCATTATTTGAAATGTTTAAAACTGTTAAATTCTCAAGATCACAAAGTCCATCCGGTAGTTTTTGAATCTTGTTGTAGCAAGCTTCTAGAATTCTCAAATTCTTCATATGACCAATTTCAGCTGGCAGTGATGTTAATAAGTTTTCGTCAACAACTATTTTCTTTAAAGACACTAAACAGCATATAGAAGGATTCAGCTCAACCAATTGATTTCCAATCAGTTGAAGATCCTCCAGATTCACTAAATGTTTAAAGGAATCAGGAAGTATAACGAGCTTGTTTTCATTTGCATGCAGAATTTTTAATCTGGTTAAATTTTCAAAAAAATCTGGAAGACTTTCAAAAAGATTTCCAGAGATTCTCAGATCTTCTAGCAGCCTAGAATTCTCAACATCAATTTGCAAGATCGTCAAATCTTTAAATTCTAGATCCAACTTTATCACAGAAGAACCATTCAATTTCTGTATCGTCTTTTTCTGCACTTCCATTTCAACTGTGCAACACTCCATTTCTGTAACATTGGAAACATGAAAATATAGGCTTAGATTATTACATTTGTTTAAAATCTGCCCATTACTAAATTAAAAAATTAGCTTTAAAATTACAGTTTTCCATACTGTAGCTACAGTATTAGCTCCCTAGGCCTGTCTGTGCCAGGGACCCTCCTGCCATTGTTGCCTTCCTATTTTGTAAATATATTTTCAGTACTGACCAAATAATTACTGTATAATTTTAGGCATAGCCAGTCAAATGTTGTATTGCCTTCACCAAAGAGTGAATATAAAAAATGAAGCTTTTCTTATAAAGGAGCATCTAACTGTAATACCTAAACTCACTGTTCATTTACTTAAGCAAGATAATACTTTATTTATCTATTTTTGTAATTTATATTTTTGTCATTTTGTATAGTTTTGTATTGCAAACAGGGCCCAGTGTTGATCTGGGCCTCAACTAGTTGAGATGAAATTGCTACAAAATTTATACAATCAATTTAAGAAATTACATATCATATTTCAAGTACCATTCAGTTAAATTACCCACTTTGAATTAATGCCCTATAAGTCTTTATGATCACGCAATTAACACATTTTGATGGTTATTATGTCCCAGACTGTATAGTAAGGCCAGCGAGGGGAATATAACCTCCGTGCAAAAAATAGGCCTAGAAATTTGTCCATGCATTTCGGAAAATAAGGGCTGATTTCCACACAGATTTTGCCAAAAATTAAGCTTTGACCAAATCTTAATATATAACCAATGCAATTATGCAGCATTTACGATTGCGCGCACCTAGTTTCCTAACAATTTTCCCTGAAAATTTGAGCTGATGTTCTGATATATTTTTTATAATATATACATCATACATATCTCAAAAATCAGCTCAAATTTAATATATATTTTGTTGAAAACCTAATTTTCGGCAAAATCTGTGCGGAAATCGGCCCTTTTTTTCCCCAAATGTGCGGATCGATTTCTAGGGCAAATTTTTGCTTGGAGGATATATTCCCAGCGCAGGCCTTACTACTACTACTACTAGGCGCCTATATATACAGTCTGGTTCTCAACAATAAAGTAGGCCTAAGCCTAGCCTACTAGGCCTAGGTCACGGGCCTATCTAGAGTGTATTTTCAATAAGAAAGCCTAGGCCTAAGCCTAGACTGGAGTTATAGTTAACTTAAGGGTAGGGTGGAGTACTGAGGTGCATTATTAGCGCCAAATCGTGTTATTATGCGGGATGGAAAAAATAGCTAAAGGTAAGAATGATCACTTCCTGCAAACCCACTACACTAGGCCTAACCTACCTAGGCTAGGCCTACCTACCTACACAGTACCAAATCGTTCCTACTAGGCCTAGGCTAGGGCTAGCCTAGGCGTAGACGCGCCGTCTAAAGAATTCTAAAAACGCAGTATAGGCCATAGTGTAGTTTTGCTTTCATATGAAACTTCAGTTTACTTAGCACTTACATATTTGCTTAGCCTCCTTTCTCTTCACATTCTGTCATAACATGACATGTGCATGCATGCGTAAATCCGTAATCACACCATCGGCTTTTCAAATTGTTCAACCAAACCAACCAAGGGAAATGAATTTTTTTTCTGAATGCAATATCGCGTCAGTTTACAGCATTACATGACAATTTGCGTCAACTAATGCTAATTCGCGTCAACTAACGCCCGGCCATCAACACAGAACTAATTCGCAGTATTTCTACAATGTATACTATATATAATTCTGTATGTTCTCCTATTTGGATGTTGTTGAATAAATTTGATTATTCATAATTATTTTTTTTAGGTTTAGTAGACGCTGGATTATAAAATCATTTTTAAAGTACAAGAATGGTACCGTAAATGCTCGATAAGCGCCGCTCTCGAATAAACGCCGCTGCTTTAATCGAAAGTAGGCCTACCGTATATTACCCTGTGTGTAATAAAACACCTAGAAACAGGGTTATACAATTGTATGCAGTGTTCAAATTACGATTGCGCGCACCTAGTTTCCTAACAATTTTTCCTGCAAATTTGAGCTGATGTTCTGATATATTTTTTATGATATATACATATCCATTTTCACAAAAAAAAATAAATGCCTCTCGAATAAATGCCTCCCTCAAAAACCTTCCCAAACCATACTGTAAAGTTTTTTAACTGCACGGAGTATCTCAAAAATCAGCTCAAATTTAATATATATTTTGTTCAAAACCTAATTTTCGGCAAAGATCTATGCGGAAATCGGCCCTTTTATTTTCCCAAATGTGCGGATCGATTTCTAGGGCAAATTTTTGTTTGGAGGATATATTCCCAGCGCAGGCCTTACTACTACTACTACATAGGCGCCTATATATAGAGTCTGGTTCTCGACAATAATGTAGGCCTAGGCCTACTCACGGGCCTATCTAGAGTGTATTTTCAATAAGAATGCCTAGGCCTAAGCCTAGACTAGAGTTATAGTTAACTTAAGGGTAGGGTGGAGTACTGAGGTGCATTATACAATTGTATGCAGTGTTAAAATGAACAAATAACACAATGAAGACACAAGCATTTCTTTACAAACGTTTGTTAACGATTAAGGACCATGACAGGCCCATCTAACTACGGGAATAAGTGGACGGTAACATAACGGGCATGGAAAACGTCACCCAAATAGTTTTTTTTATAAGCGCTGCTATCGAATTCTACAATGAAGCCTCTAAAAATGTTATAAGCGCCGCGGCGCTTTTTCGAGCATTTACGGTAATTACTAAGAATGATCATGCTTCACATGATTTCTTGAATAGATTTTCTAACTTTTCAGACTTGCTAACTTCAATATAGAAAATATTATGAAGTACTGGTAAACATACAGTATGTTTTCAACGTGACCTACATTTTGAACATACGTTAGCCTATAAACTAATTTATTAACATAGGCCTACACCATTAGCGGTGGCATTCAACAGGTGGTGCGTGGTACTAAGCATTTGTTTAATAGTCTTATAATGCAAAAGTTAACATAACATGCCGGGTGTACCGGTAAACATAGTCCTATGTTTTCAACATGCCGGGTGTACCGGTGTAGGTTTAGGAAAAAGCCGCGTTTGGGGTTAGTATGGGACGTGACGATTCTGGTGCCGTGTTTATTACCGGTATATTATTATGGTAAAATTATGTTGTACTGTAAAGTCTTTTTTACTTGAGGCTTTGTAAAATACTGATATGAGTCACTAGCAGCATTTAAATTTAGATGATGTAAGAAAACCATAGTTTCTGTTTTGACTGTACTTGAAACAATGTTATTGTCATTAAACAAGTGCATTTACACCGTTCGAATCCGAATATTTTCGATACGAAAGCCTACCGCCGAACCGATCAGGAAATCGAATCAGTCAGGGAACAGTGAAATTTTCGATGCTCTACAAAACGAAAATGCGGTCCAAGTTGTCAATTGTTTTCATTGATATTATGTAATGTACTTTACAACATTTGTTGATTGTAAATGTGCCGCCAGCAAAAATGCTTTGGTTTATTATAATATATATTATTGTATAAATTACGCGGGTTATCAATATGTTAGAATGGGACCATACAGCACGATTGGTGCAGAATAAAATCTATATCATTCAAGTTCCAGCTTAATCGACAGACTTTAACTAAACGAGAAGTTGTATTTCGATTCTTCGAATGGATTATTCTACGACTAAAAGTATCTTTGTTACTCGGCAAATATCACCAAAGGCGGTGACTATGTTAAAGAAGAGGTAAGACCACGGAGACATCTGTCTCTTATACACATCTAGATGTGTATAAGAGACAGATATTTAAGTAGGCACATCTTTGCTATAGGGTTTGTTTGGACCAAGCTTTATAAAGATCTAAGCATGGGAATTGACGAAAACGCTTAGAAATGGAAAGGGATAGGATAAAAATAAGGAAAATTAGATTTACTAACAAAAAGTTATGATAGTAATAACAATGATAATGATAATGGAAATGGAAATGGCTGTGGTTGTAACAGGAGTGGCGCTAGCGGCGGTGAGGGCCCCATGGGGAGAGTTCTCCTTTTCTCCACCCCCACCCCCGCCGTCGGGGAGAAAAAAAATGTATTTTTTGCATATTAGTAAACTATAAAGTCGATTATAACTCCGATGGTGACATCATCGCTTTTATTTGCACTGACTCCGATTTTTTGCGTCCCGTGTGCAAAAAAGCTCGAAGCAGGGGTGATTTTACTACCGAACATTGCGATGGAATATTTTGTTGCCAGGCCAAGCTATGAACGTGCAGAGCGAATCTAAAAAATATCGCTCTATGGCACTGGTTAACATGAATGAATTCCTAGACTGTTGTACAAAGGCATAATGGTTACAAATGTATAAATGGTGTTGCACCTTCCCGCTTATGTAATGATATAGAAAAGGTTGTTGACCGACATGGATATTCTACGAGATACGCTCACTCGCTTAACGTTATCCCCCCAATTCAAAATTGTTCTGTAATGAATGGCTCTTTTTAAAAATCTCTAGAGCAAAAGTCTGGAACAAAATCCCAATCAGAATTCAAGAATATCAATCTCTTAATTTGTTCAAAATTACTTATAAGAAACACTTTTTCTGATTATGACAATTCATTTCCTTTTATATTTTCTTGGTCTATATTTTTAACATTTAATCCCGGTCCCGAAACTTTGACTCAGAAGTACCGGGACCATCGGCTTTTCAAATTGTTCAACCAAACCAACCAAGGGAAATGAATTTTTTTTCTGAATGCAATATCGCGTCAGTTTACAGCATTACATGACAATTTGCGTCAACTAATGCTAATTCGCGTCAACTAACGCCCGGCCATCAACACAGAACTAATTCGCAGTATTTCTACAATGTATACTATATATAATTCTGTATGTTCTCCTATTTGGATGTTGTTGAATAAATTTGATTATTCATAATTATTTTTTTTAGGTTTAGTAGACGCTGGATTATAAAATCATTTTTAAAGTACAAGAATGGTACCGTAAATGCTCGATAAGCGCCGCTCTCGAAACGCCGCTGCTTTAATCGAAAGTACCGTATATTACTCTGTGTGTAATAAAACACCTAGAAACAGGGTTATACAATTGTATGCAGTGTTAAAATTACGATTGCGCGCACCTAGTTTCCTAACAATTTTCCCTGCAAATTTGAGCTGATGTTCTGATATATTTTTTATGATAAACATATCCATTTTCACAAAAAAAAATAAATGCCTCCCTCAAAAACCCTTCCCAACCCATACTGTAAAGTTTTTTAACTGCACGGAGTATCTCAAAAATCAGCTCAAATTTAATATATATTTTGTTCAAAACCTAATTTTCGGCAAAGATCTGTGCGGAAATCGGCCCTTTTATTTTCCCAAATGTGCGGATCGATTTCTAGGTCAAATTTTTGCTTGGAGGATATATTCCCAGCGCAGGCCTTACTACACATAGGCGCATAAATATACAGTCTGGTTCTCAACAATAATGTAGGCCTAGGCCTACTAGGTAACGGGCCTATCTAGAGTGTATTTTCAATAAGAATGCCTAGGCCTAAGCCTAGACTACAGTTATAGTTAACTTAAGGGTAGGGTGGAGTACTGAGGTGCATTATACAATTGTATGCAGTGTTAAAATGAACAAATAACACAATGAAGACTCAAGCATTTCTTTACAAACGTTTGTTAACGATTAAGGACCAGGACAGGCCCATCTAACTACGGGAATAAGTGGACGGTAACATAACGGGCATGGAGAACGTCACCAAAATAGTTGGGTTTTTTTTATAAGCGCTGCTCTCGAATTCTGCAATGAAGCCTCTAAAAATTTTATAAGCGCCGCGGCGCTTTTTCGAGCATTTACGGTAATTACTAAGAATGATGCTTCACATGATTTCTTGAATAGATTTTCTAGTTTCCTCAATTCAGACTTGCTAACTTCAATATAGAAAATATTATGAAGTACCGGTAAACATACAGTATGTTTTCAACGTAACCTACATTTTGAACATACATTAGCCTATAAACTAATTTATTAACATAGGCCTACACCATTAGCGGTGGCATTCAACAGGTGGTGCGTGGTACTAAGCATTTGTTTAATAGTCTTATAATGCAAAAGTTAACATAACATGCCGGGTGTACCGGTAAACATAGGCCTATGTTTTCAACATGCCGGGTGTACCGGTGTAGGTTTAGGAAAAAGCCGCGTTTGGGGTTAGTATGGGACGTGACGATTCTGGTGCCGTGTTTATTACCGGTATGTTATTATGGTAAAATTATGTGTACTGTAAAGTCTTTTTTACTTGAGGCTTTGTAAAATACTGATATGAGTCACTAGCAGCATTTAAATTTAGATGATGTAAGAAAACCATAGTTTCTGTTTTGACTGTACTTGAAACAATGTTATTGCCATTAAACAAGTGCATTTACACCGTCCGAATCCGAATGTTTTCGATACGAAAGCCTACCGCCGAACTGATCAGGAAATCGAATCAGTCAGGGAACAGTGAAATTCTCGATGCTCTACAAAACGAAACGTCCCTAATCTTACCAGGGAAAATGCAGTCCAAGTTGTCAATTGTTTTCATTGATATCATGTAATGTACTTTACAACATTTGTTGATTTTAAATGTGCCGCCAGCAAAAATGCTTTTGTTTATTATAATATATATTATTGTATAAATTACGCGGGTTATCAATATGTTGAATGGGACCATACAGCACGATTGGTGCAGAATAAAATCTATATCTGTTCCAGCTTAATCGACAGACTTTAACTAAACGAGAAGTTGTATTTCGATTCTTCGAATGGATTATTCTATGACTAAACGTATCTTTGTTACTCGGCAAATATCACCAAAGGCGGTGACTATGTTAAAGAAGAGGTAAGACCACGGAGACATTGATTTTCTTTACTTTGATTATAGACAAAGAGAGTGGACCCATGGTGGAGATTTCTTTTCCAAAATGATCATACTAAAAATACTAAACATATTGCAAAAAACGACAGTAGCGTACAGTACAGAGTTTATGTTGCTTGAATAAGAAAATTGGCGTATAGTAAGCCACACACGATGTCACCAACTGATCAGCACTGCCACGTTTACCAGATTTCTGAGTATACCTATCTATCGCAAATGAAAAATATGACGGTTTTCTTGCGATATTATGCTCGTTTATTAAAAGATAATAATAATAATAATAATAATAATAATAATAATAATATAGAAATTTATATAGCGCTAAAGGTTTATTGTAGGAAGAGGATTATTTAGGAAAAGATATTATGGCGATTTCGCAACCTTACGAAAACGATAACGAATACGAATACCGGTCATTCGTGCCTAAAGCGTTCTTAACAACATGGTGTTTGAGCTCAATATGATCCTTGAATCATGCAAAAGGCACGAGTCGCCTACGTTGTGAAAAATATGCCACTGTAGATGAAGGGTTGTCTTATAGAAATTTATGACGTAACCGTATTCGTTACCGTATAGTTTTCGTAATCTTGCTAAAACTCCCTAATGCATCCATGAAAAGATAATTTTGTAGCGTTTTCTAACATTATGCCTTTCTTTGATATCAGGTGCAATGTTATCATGTGGGAAAGTGAGGACCAACCCGTACCAAGAAATGAACTCTTAAAAAGAATTGTGGGATGTGACGGACTGTACTGTCTTCTAACAGATAATATTGATGTCGAGGTTATAGATGCTGCAGGTTAGTAAAGGCCAACTCAGACAGCGTCGGCCGACGCAGCCCGACGCGATTTGTTGTCGCGTCGGGTCTGTGTGAGTTGAACGCAGACGCGATGGTGTGCGTCGGGGGTAGTCGCGTAGTAGAATATTAAACGTGTTTAATATTTCTCACGACGGCTTAAGACTGTCCCCCGACGATAAATCGGGTCGGGCTGCGTCGGCCGACGCTGTCTGAGTTGACCTTAATGTATTATTCAAAAATCTCTAAACTTAAATTGTCCCATACTAAATACCAAAAAAAATCATAAAATATTTTTGAAATTAACTTGCCCATTTTGAAGTAACATAAAAGTTATCAACTTGAACATAGCAATTAGTGTATTTTAAAAATGTCTAGCCGTCAGTTTACAGCGAAAATGATAGAAACACTTCCAGTCACTGAGAGTGTTTTATTATTTTTATTATAATTTTTTTGGTTTTAAAATCAGAATACAAATTTTTTAAATTCAATAATTTTTATGCACAAGTTAATAATTTGTATGCTATTGCAATATGAGTAAGTTTATTTCAAAATTATTTTTTATGATTTTTTGACTTTAGCAAGGGACAATACATTTTTAACAAGAGGCTGATAAGAGAACTTATGGCAAAAATTAAAATAACACGCGCGCGCGCGTTTTTTTACGTACCGATACTTTTCGGCGCCGTTTCAGCTGCAGTTTTATTGTCATTTGTAAAATTCATTTTATATAGAAACACAGTTGCAAGGGTCCGCTCATAAATAAACATTATTATTAGGCCTATTATTAATCTAATCCACCGCCGGACACCATCCCGGTATTTCTGAATCACTCGGGGCTTGAATATTGAGATTGTGAATGTAATGACTTTTTTTTTTATTAATATTTTTTTTTTTACTTATTACGTTATATGAATACTAAAATACAAAACGGTGATACAAGGCTAAAATTGTCTGCATTACAATAAAATTACACAATAAATACTATTAAAAATTACAAAAACTTACAATTACAAAAAGCAATTAATTTACTAAAAGAGATTGCACATTAAATAATTAACAATTACAAAAAATTATAATTACAAAAAACTTAATTTACTATATGCAAAATGTACTAAATACAATAAAAAATATTATTTACAATAATAATACTATAAAACGATCTAATTATATAAAATGTTTCACAACCGACACATGTTTTACAACCGACAAAATGTTTCACAACCGACTTGAACTAATTCTTACTTATGTTAACCACATGCTTACCTAAGATTATACTGACACTGGTTTCAAATGGAATAATTGACAACTTTGGTTTGTATCAATGTTTTAATAAGTACATAAAACTATGTCACAAATATGTGTGCAAAAATGCACAGGGACACCACGCTGTTTGTGTATTTTTCTTGAAATCTGTGTGCCTGATGCCATCATCATACACAGTATAATAGATTCAAGTAAGATGTTGAAAAAAGTGTATATAAACATGCCTTTGGAACACTTTTTTCGAGTTTCATTTACCTTAACGTCAACTCCGTCTTAGAAAGCACCAGGCTTAATCACACAACAGTTTTCTTTTATAAACCTCTAATTAAAAAAATTATCAGTAAATCCTGTGCAATGAATAAAAATACATACATAATAAAATGATTAACAGTCAAACACATTTTGCATAAATGAGGTCCCATGAAAAATTGTAATTTTTAATGATTATTTAAGAAAGAATAATGCTGGGCACTCACTGCGTCGTACGACAAATCTAACTCCGCTCCCTGTGAACGATAGATGACGCAACGCCGTCTGCTGATTGACGGTAGCAATCTGAACGGATCGTTGTTAAAAACGATCCGTTGCGCACGTCGTGTCGCTTTCTTCATAGCATCACATCGGCCGACAACCGTTATGCGCAGTAAGTGCCCAGCTTACATTCTATGTTCCGTGCATTGAAGAATTCTGAGAATATTCATAGTAATTGTTATTTTTTTAAAAGGAAACATCGTACCGACGTCATTATTTTGGGTCAAGACGGCACGTCCGGTGAATAATCACAATATAGTTTTCTACACTAATTTAAGTGTATGGGTATACACTTAAAATGTCTTTGTCTAATTATTAAATTTATATCACCATAAGCTATAAAAATGTGTAAAATATAAGCATGAATCTGTACTTACATGGCCAGATGAATGAAAATACTCAATCGATGTGTCACCAAATCGTAACCAGCCTTCACCATGCCCTCACGATGTCACCGGGGACGCAACTGCCGAAAAAACTATTTTTGGCAGCGAAGGGACGCTACCAATAAACAATCAACAAACTACCGGGTTTCTGGGTTAAAGGTAATATACATACGTTTTGTGTAAATTTCAACACAAAGAAAGCGGCTTAGTTTCGTTTGGAGACACATCTTACAAAAAAATTAAAAAGACAAAAAAAAAGTATTTATCATATGTTAAATATTACCAATCTTCTGTTTTATTCTAGGGCCTAACTTAAAGATAATTAGCACAATGTCTGCTGGGTTTGATCATATCGACATTGTTACCTGCAAGCAGAGGTAAAAACTAGTCAGATAGGCCTAATTGAGATTTAAATGAGCGATATTAGTAAGAATTTTAGAATCTATGACAAATCAAGACAAACGAACTGTGGCGCAATTTCAGTTAAAATACAGAGATTGATTCTTATTTTACTATCCTATTTTTTGTGAGTAACCTTTACATTAAATGAGAATGAAAATACTATAATTATTTCTAAAAGTTAATTACAGATTAATACCGCTGTTCTATTTTTTCTAGGAACATTACAGTTGGCTTCACTCCCGACGTTCTCACAGCAACAGCAGAGCTTACTGTCGCCCTCTTGCTAATGGTTTCACGGAGAACAGTCGAAGGAGTCAATATCGTAAAAAGGTAAATTTGCGTGAGCTTAATTAATCAAAAGTTACAATTAAAAGTTCTGTAAGGTCACTGATTAGATTGGAGTAATTGCAAAATATTAATATATTCAAATCCAGGTCTAATTAGAGCCTACACTTATTTACAAAATCGTACTTATGATGACAGACTTTTCAAGTTAGTAAAATGCATTTCTTTTCATCCGTAAATACAAAAATTCCGTAGCACCTAATAATTTGTCTTGAGTTATAAAAAAAAATATACAATATAAAAAGATAAATGTAAGCAAAAAGTACATAAGATTCAGGAATCAAAATTAGAAGTAAACAATTGTCTCAGAAATAAACATCATGATGATAATTATTAGTGATTGTAACTCCAACATACAATAAACGACAATGTAAAAAGAAAAGCGATAAGAACTTATAATTAAAACTATAATTAAATAATAACTAATATTAAAATTATAATAAAAACTTGTATAATAATTATGCATTCATTCTTTTTATTAGTGGCGGTTGGGGTAGCTGGAAGCCTATTTGGATGTGTGGTTCCAGCTTGTCTGATAGTACCGTCGGTATCGTCGGCTTAGGAAGAATTGGCCTTGCTGTAGCAAGAAGATTAAAGCCATTTGGTGTTAAAAGATTTTTGTATAATAACCAGAATCCCAAATCTGAAGCAGACATAATTTGTGCAGAGTTTGGTGAGATAAATCTGACATGACTATTCTCTATAGGACTATTTTGATAATCGTTTTACTTATATAGTGTTATAGGCCTACCGTAAATGCTCGAATAGGCCCAAGCTCTTAACTTAAGCTTATAACATTTTTAGAGGCTAGTGCGGCGCTTATAAAAAATATTGGCGTGGCGTGGCGTTAGTTCAATGACCTCTCATAGGTCCTACGTCATCGTAAATGAAAATGCTTGCGTCTTCATTTTTTATTTCATTGTGTTTTTGTTTATTTTTTTTACAGTATACCTTTTTCTCATTATACCTATATTTTATAGCTATTCATACCTATTTTATTCATTATCGATTACTTTTGTTATTATTAGGCCTATATATTTAGTTTAGATGTGCTTATATCCATCACATTTAAAAGTATTGAAGGCATACGAGATATTCATGTATTTCATGAATTATAATTTTGGGAGCATGACGTAGTGTGAATGACATTTTTTATTCCTTATCGTCCTGAATTTTAAAGTGAATTTGTTTGCGCACCGGAAGAATACAACAATAGACCTAATACATAATCTTCTTCCTGTCTTCAGTTTCATTTGACAAACTTTTGAGAGAGAGCGACTTTGTGGTTATTTGTTGTCCGTTGACCCCTGACACTAAAGAAATGTTCAGCCGACATGCCTTTGAAAAAATGAAGTCATCAGCCATTCTGATAAACACAAGCAGGTAAACTTTATTACATCTGTACAAGCAAAGGTCATAGCATTCTATACTCTTTGGGAGAATTATTAACATGCCCAACGTTTCCTAACTTAATTTTCCTGGTGTCAATGTTCCCGCGTGGTGCGACTGAAGAAATAGATATGAAAACATGAAAATATGAGTAGTTATTTATAAAAGAAATAAAACAAAACCCCGGTATGCAAAAGTAAATAATATTTCACATACCTAGACTACTATTATAACTTTTATCTGCACGATACCAAAATAAATCATTACTGATTTCTGTATTTACTAACATCCCCATAAATTTTAATTTTTATTTCAGAGGGGGTATTATACAACACGATGATTTGTACCAAGCATTAAAAACTGGTCAGATTAAAGCCGCAGGACTGGATGTGACCACGCCAGAACCATTACCTAGTGATCACCAACTTCTTAGTCTAACAAACTGTGGTAAGCCTAAAAAACACCGTATTATATATATTTTTTTCGATTGTATGTATATCGCTTGCTTACAGCATATGCGAAAATGGATCATTCAGCTAAGATTCCCTCTTGGTCCCAAATGGGACATGCTCGTATTCTTGGGCACGCCTACTAAAACACGTTTCGGTAGTGTAAAAATATGTGAGCTATTATATATAATTATATATAATTGAGATATAATTCAGTCGTATAATAACAGTAATTATTTTGTAATGTTGAAGTTTCAGTGTATAGGTGCAGCGACGTCTTGAATTGGGGTGGGGGGCTGATGGCGGAAGGTGAAGTGGGGACTTGATTAGTTGACCAATTGCAAAATATGGTGATTTTAGGTGATTTTTAACTGATTCGAGGAGGGGGGGCGACTGGGGGTGTAATTTTGGTTGACGTGCCCTCCCCCTCGCGCCCTCCCCTAGGTACGCCACTGAATAGATGCTGGAATTATTTTTATTTGTATTTCACAAAATGGAATTATAGAAATAACTATTTTATTATTTTTGTCATATTTGTTTACCCTCTTCATATTCTATGACCAACACTATGTGGTGTGTAACCAACTGTTCATAAAATGATCGCTATTGTATCTTACATGTTATCTAGAAATTTCGTCACCAATCAATGCCACTATATTTTTGTTATTTTTGTAGTTGTCCTTCCCCACATCGGCAGTGCAACTGAAGACTCAAGAGATCTAATGGCAGTATTAGCAGCGGAGAACCTGCTGGCTGGACTCGAGGACTTGCCAATGCCCCATGAAGTAAATATAGGGGTGGAATGATGAGAAGTTTTTTTTTTATTTTTAATAATATTATTATTATTATTATTTATTTATTTTTTTCTTTTTTCCAGGACCACAATGAAAAACATTTCTTTAAAATGATTGTGTCATCCTGGCTAAAGATATTAGTAAATAAATAAAGTAAATAAATGTTGGGGAATGACTTGTGATAGTGTTATTAGCTAGTAGTTGTTAACGTAGCAGCATTCTGCAGAACAGCAAAAGCAACAGTAGCAACAGCAACAATAGCAGCAGCAATCACAACAGCAGCAGCAACAACGACGAAATGAGCCACAAGAAAATAAAAACATGACGAACTAGGCATAGCAGTAATTTCGAGTAAAGGTTTAGAGTAATTGAGTTAAAGAAATACTTGGACATAAATCTGTTTTATTTATTCAGTCTAGCAGTAACAGGCCCAATAGATTTGATGTTTTTTTTTTTTTTTTTCGTTTTGAAATACTCAATAACCCACGTGGAAACGGCAGAAACTATTGCTATATCGCAGTAGACTGTGAGATGTTTGCTTGTGTGAAAAAAGCTCTGATTCCAAACTCACTTGAAAGAACAGTAACAGCAGCAGTGGTATTGCAGTAAACATGTAGGCCTACTATACTAAGCATATTACTATAAAATTAAAAAGATATCATTATGTTTTAATAAAGATATTACCATATGACTGAATTGATGGCCCATTTCTGGTAGTTTCAACAAATTGCTTATGGGCAGGACACAGCATGTTGAAAAACATCTTGTAACCTATAATATAATAATTATTTATTATTATAATTTTTCTATCAGTTCTCTCGTTCAATGGAACTCCAAGGTAAAGAAATGATGAATACTATATGAAATAGGTATATTAATTCATTCAAGCATGATAATTACCAGAATTTGACTGAGTGACTCCTAGTGCCGCATCGAAGGCAAATAATATAGCACTTTGAGCGCCGCTACCACCAGCGTACTTAAAAAAAAAACAATATTATGGTAAGACTAGGTTAATAATAATAATTATTATATTACAGTACTTAAATGATATTAATGGCGTACCTATTAACAAAGTTATTGAAAGAGAATAGAGTCCACTCTGCTCGTTTTGTGCATAAATAAACGTAACGTCCGAGGAAGCAGCTTCGGAAGAGCGCCCGCTGTAACCTGGATTATTTTTATTTACAGTTTGTCGCCACCATGCTTTGTTTTCGCTTATCTTTGTCCACACAATATATTAAACGCTTCTAATTTGTGCGAAGTTGGTTCTGGCGCGCACTGATATTCAATTTGCAGCTCATTCGAAAACTATAAGGAACAATGTATTTCTTTTTCTGATGGATGGCAAGTGTTGCTTGATTAAATTGCTCAAAACTGATCAAACCTGTTGTTACTGAACACAGACAGGTCTCTCATTATTTTTGAGTGGAATTAAAACAATAAATTAATTGACCTTAATTACTGATATAGAGTACTTACTACTCTTGGATGAGGACTCACGCCCTCATATATGAGACCTTGTAAGCCCTTCGATTTAAACGCAGTACTGTCCCACCTTAAACGTAAAGTAAGGTTTTAGTTTTTCTAAATTACTGTTATGTATTGTAACTAGAATCGTTATATATGTTTCAACTTTATTAAAAATTACAAAAGAAAGGTCTGAAATTTTTCTTTCGGTTTTGTAACTGGGTTACAATGTTACAAAATAACCTTTAGCTAGCAATATAATACGATCATTAAGGTCTTCATATAAAGTTGTCTGTTATTTATATCAACCTGCAATGTTTTAGTTTAAAATATAATTTATATTTGACTCAAATTCAAAGTACCACTTAAACTCACCCATTAAAAAACGGTCGAAGTACGCCGTAAAAGACATCAGGGCGGCATTGTTCTTAATATGCAATACATGGATTCGAAAAGTGAAACAGATATTTTATCACATTACGATATGGTCGAGTGTTTAGCTGTTCTCATCATTATCCTTATCATCATCATTATCATAATCATCATCATTATCTTCCTCAGCATCATCATCATTATCATCATCATCATCATCATCATCATCATCATCATCATCATCATCATCATCATCATCATCATCATAATCATCACCTGTAGTAGCATCATCATTATAATTATCCTCATCACAGTCACCGTCATAATCGGTATTTTATAGCCTACCATGCATTCTTTTAAGTGCCAGTTCAACTTGTGATATAGAAGCAGATATAGCCATTAAACAGTCTTTCAGTACTTTTGTTTCCGCGCCCTTGACAGCCTTAAAAACATGGTTCAAATATTTTGACTTTTCTGGTAAGATAAGGATTATACAGAATATGTTTTTGCTTATTATCATGAAAGTATTAGGATGGTTATGATGATGCCGAATATCATAATTGCATTATTAATGATCATATAAACAATAATTATCAGCGCAGTGTGTTTCCCCACCCCATTTACCTGCTGAGCTCGAACTATTGCGCACACGCCTGGCGCTGCGTCAAGTTCCATTTGGAGGGCAACCATGAAAAACCAAGATTCGTCTTCCCCTCCACGTACTTTTATGATAGTTTCAACATTACTGAAAACCGAATATAAAAATATAAGTTAAGACAAGTACACTTTTTTTTTTTTATAAGAACCAGTAAACTTCTGCCCAGGCTCAGTGTTCTTATTTTTTGGCCGATTTCAGGCTCAAAATTTTCTTATTTTGTTCTTATTTTACACACTTTTCAAATTATTACAGTATACACTGTACTGTACCAGAATGTAGGTATAAGTTGCCCTGGAAAAAAATTGCCCCTGAAAAAAGGGCCTGGAAAAAAATGACCCGAAAAAAAGGCTGCTAAAAATGGCTCCAACTGACAGGAGGACACTTACTGTACTGTATTATAGAGAGTATTATATAATGACATCTACTGAACTTAAAGGAACAAATAGGCCTATAAGTTTTTTTTGTTTTTTTGGTTTTTTTAAATAAAAATTTCATTTGACATTTTATCTGAGCCTCAATTTTGTTCTTATTTTGTTCTTAATTTTTAAGCAATTTCAGCCTCATTGTTTTTATAAAATGTGTTCTTATAAAAAAAAGTGTGTATTTTACTTTCTGTGTATTGTACAATATAGTAATTAAGCAGTTAAAAATAGAACTAGAGCGTAAGGTCAAAAGTAGTACTTAACTCTGTGGCAAGCTACAGAGGGTAGAGCAATACCAGAGAATGTTAGGCTATAGCGAAACACTTCTTTGCCACAGTCACAGAAGTTTGGGATGGTAGAATAGCGAATATTCCCATTTCTGTAATGTCGTGACTTCCAGAAATGGGGATAGGCTATTCTACAACCAAACAAGTCAGGAAATAATAGATTGAAACAATAGTCTAGGTCAGGGTCGGATTCAAGGTGGACACAGCCGGTCCGCCCACACCCCCTACATTTTTCAAAATTATTATTAAAATTGAGAAAAAAGAACATTATATACAAATTCAAGTCTGAGAGTGCCATTTCCGGCCATCTGGAAGTGCCACAATCATAAATCTTCTTAAATACCCCAACCATAGTGGGCCTGAAGTGTAGACCTCCCTGAGCCCATCCTATATTCCCGGATGAGCCACTGTAGGTGGGATGGCTGAAGGTAAGATTGAGGGCTAGTGAGAGTGAATAATGTGAACAAAGTGTGCATAGAGTCAAGAAACATTTAAAAAAAAAAGAATGAAATAAAGGTACGCCAAATGTAGGCCTAAAAATAATGATAAGGGAAACAAAATGTCATTTTTACCTTAGTTCTAATTTTTTACTTCTATCTCGGAGCGTCCAGTTATTCAAAACGAACGTGTAGTGTCGAAGGGCAGGATCAATTCCGAGTCGTTCTGATACTCCACACACAGGTATTGCTAAGTTCATCGGAATACTCTATAGAACATTTGTAAGTGCTCTTTAAGATGTCAGTTAGTATAAAAAGTAAAGCAGGAGAAACTAACTGCAAGCTATTCATATATATTTTTTTTAAATATTGTAATCAATCCAATTCAATAGATATGGAGAAACAATGGAAATGAAAATTTCTGTAAACTCAGCTACCTCCCTGTAGGCCTACCAAATGGCCTTTCGTGGCACCAGTGCTTTAGCAGAAAGGAGAAGCGTGAACTTTTATAATCTCAAGCGTTCCCAATTCTGCACACCACGATTCGTTCACTTTCAATACCCATTGACAGAATGAGATAATTATTTTTTGTGGTCATCCCAGCTTTTTATATAAATATATGTATATTAAAATTTTTAATTTGAAATATGATTTTAATGGAATGAAAAGGTTTTGAGGTTATTTTTTCCTTTGGAGAATGTAAACATTATCCGTGATTGCCTGGTGTGCTTTATCACACTCAGAATGTATTTTATCATGGTTATAATTATATTTGAGTTTAATTTTGATTCATTACGGTTCTTACTGAGACTATATTTTGTTCTCCTGCCATCCAAACATAGCCATGCACCAAAGCCGTCAGGCACGTGTGGGCAAGCCGCAATTCTTTATGTGATTGTAGGTGCTCGTGGTGTAAAAATGGCATCTAAAAGCAAAATATTTGTAAAGTATACTGTATCATTGACATAGCAAGTAATATTAGGGAGTATCTGTGCATGCATGAATCATAAAGGACGCAATTTGGCCCGAACCTAAGGGTGGCCATTAGGGTCAAAATAGACAAATATCGCCGTAAGAACCAATCCACTCCAAAAAGACAATGCAAACCAGGCAACTATCAAAATCATCACCGGTAAAGAAAGAATCATCTCGTAAAGACAAAACTGTGTACGTAATAGGCAAAACTGCTAGGACACATTAACAAAAAACTGATATTGTATATTATTCAAATGTCTGTAAAATAACTATGGACGCTCGGGGGAAAGAGCACTGTCAGACATTTTAAAAAATGGGTTTGAAGTATGTATGTATTCATTTTTAAATATAGGTCTATCCAGCATCTAGTTAAAAAATAGACCAAAATATGCAGTAGCACCTCTCTAGCAAACGAATATCATGGAATCACACTCGAGATTTTAGAATTTATAAAGAAAAGAAAAGGCTATGCAAAAGTCATGTGGTTCACGTTTTTATTTTAATAAAAACAATGCCACGCATATTCCAAAAAGGATGAAGGAAGCAATATGTTTTAATTAAATCATTATTACACATTTGAGACTGACTTTCTGTGCATTAAAAAAAAATAATTAAAAAACTTTGAACATGTTGGTTTAATGGCTAAGCATAATGGATATTTTCATTTAAGTATCAGCATATCAATATCATTTGTTTTCATTTATTCGACATACAAACTATCTCACAACAATCCCAGATGGAAGTTTTTTTTTTCTCTTTTGTGGGAATTTCACCCACCTTTATTTCTTTCTCTTTTTGTTATTTTTTACATTTTTTTTTGTCATCCCAGATGGAAGTTAGTGAGTTTACAAAAACAATGCAATGCAAGCATACAAATGATTAAAATACTTACATGATAATACATTTTATATCTAAGTCTGTCTCTTATACACATCTAGATGTGTATAAGAGACAGCATATATATATAGACGCTTAGTATATTATTTTTCCAGGGTCGTTTATTCTTGACCATGAATGTTAGCCCTGTTTTTGCCATTTTACTCGACAAAATACAGTAGCGTAACACATTAGTTATAGCAATTTTAACACTGGTACCCCTTTAAGTAACATAAAAACAAAGAACAAACATTGTTCTTATCAATTTTGGCACAGTTGGAGTTTTCAGTTGAATATCAGCATATCAAAATATATATATCATTTATTTGGTATAAAAACAATGTCACAGCAATCCAGAGGGAAAGCTAGTGAGTTCACAAAAAGAGAAAAAATAAAAATGTGACACCGGTATAATATGATATATTAATATTCTTTTATTCCTAAAATAACCTATTTATCCGAGCCACTCCTGCTGGTCATAAATTGCTGCCGATTAATTACAGTTTCTTTCTATGTAATTTAGTTAGTCTGTACGGCGTGAATTTGTCCGTTCCGATTGAGGTTGTCTTTACGGCATGATTTTTGTTTTGCCTATTACGTACAAGGTTTTGTATTTACGGGATGATTCTTTCTTTACCGGTGTTGAATTTGACAGTTGCGTGGTTGGAATTGTCTTTTTGGGGGGATTTGTTTTTACGGCGATATAATTGTATATTTTGGCCCTAGTGGTTGCCCATACGAATTACGTTGTGCAGAAGGTTGTGCAGAAGACGATAGATCGGTCACACATGAGTTCTAGCGTCACGTCGTCGCGCAAATCGGAAGCCGGTTTTCTACTATGCGAATGCGCATTCACATCCTTATCGGAGATTTTGCGAAGCGAAAAAATGCGTAATCAATCAGAGCTCAGGAAGCGAACCGACACTTTGACTCGCGCGAATAAATTTGTCTGGTAGAAAACCAGCTAGAATCCTGTTTTCCACTGTGCGAATTTATTCGCGCGAATCGAAAGCGTCGTTCCATGCGCATTTGAATATCTATCGGAGTTGTTGCGAAGTGAAAAAATTGCACAACCAATTAGAACTCAGGAAGTGAATCGACGCTTTGATTCGCATATTACAAATAAGAATATTTGGACACAAATTTGACATTGAGTACATTCCCACCTTTTGTATTTCGGCTCGCAATGTTCCGTCTTCAACCAGACTTGCTGTTTTCCTAGCCAGCTTTTCCCAAACTTCAAAATACGGTGGCAATGATTGCTTTAAAGGTTTTAAAAGTTTTAAAAAGATAAATGTGCTCATAAATGAAAATATTGATTGGAAAAAAGTCTGGTATTCTAAGGTATATTGTATGAAACACATAGTGAAAATAGCACAATTTAATTTTAAAATATTACACCGTATATTAGATTGAAAGATTGAAAGATTGGAATATAGTTACTGACAACTTATGTGATAAAATGTCATTCAGAAATTAAAAATGAAAAGAACATGCTAGTTAACCATATAACAATTCAACCTGCGTGGCATAATTTTAATGCACTGATTGCTGGGTGCTTTCCTACAGAGAGAACATTAACACTTGGTTTAACTTGGTTCAACATAGTCACTGGAACTCCAAAAAGACTTATGAATGAACTTGTTTCTTTATTTACCTTTTGTATTTACAATTCACAATTCTTATTTAAACCAGCGAAGAAAAGTGAAAATCGAGAATCCAAAAATATCTGGAACCTATTTAAATTAGAACTTAATATCAAATGAATACACATGTAATTTTAATGAAGCCGAGAAGAAATGGGCCGACATAAAGGAAAAGCTCTCTGATTTCATAAAATGAGGGGAAAAACAACTAATCGTTAATAATTGATGCATTTAAATATAAGCATATAAGTATATAACAAAATGTTATTAATGTGAATTTTTATAGTTTTCAAATCTTATTTTAGATACAGGCTCATGTTTATTGTTTTATTAAATGATTTTATTTGTATAAGTTGTTCTATATTCATGTTGTTAATAATATTAGTAAAAGTATATATTTAATGTAAAGGAGAGAACGGAAATATATAAGTCATTTCTAACTAAGTATATAAGTATATAACTAAATTGTATTTATATAAGTTTTATAATTTTTAAATCTAATATATTTTAGATACAAGCTCGTGTGTACAGTTTTATTAAATGATTTTATTTGTATTTATTGTTTATATCTAAGTTGTAAATAATTCAAATATATATTATAATAAGAGTATATATACAGTATAATGTAAAGGAGAGAACCAAAATCGTATAATTCATTTCCAATTTTATCCCAATGTTTACATTAGTAATTGCAATGTTTGTATCTTGCAATATTAAATGTGTATAGTTGCCTAATTTAAATTTTATTATTAATATACTGTTGTGTGATCTTCATTGTGAAATGGAAAGTTGAAAAAATATTAGGCCTATGTGCTGAAATAAATGTGGGTTTGACTCCCACAAAAGAGAAAAAAAAAAGATAAATGTCAAATATAACGCTAGTATTTATCATATTTTTTTAAACATTACTTAATTTCATAATATATTACATACTTATATAGGATACTTACAATTACATACTTAACTTTGAAAACCGAAAGGTCCACTGATTAATCTCAGATAAGATAGTATAATACATACTCCAAGTATCGACATGCACGCCATCGTGTCGGGATTCAACATCAATGATCAGGATTCCATTAATGTCGAAATATTGAATCCCGACACGATGGCTTTGCTCAGTGAAAAACATAGTTAATGGCTTTAACACATTCTGTTCTCAAAGAGAATAGCCGACTGGAGATTTGATAATTATACAAATTGACAATTAATAATGCCACTATGATAGTAAATGCGTGAGGACTGTAGACCTATCTTTTTAAAAAGTAATCATTAAACAAAATTATATAACTATAGATAATAACAACAACCTGTCTAGAAGTAAAAAGGAATTACCAATGGGTTCGCAAGAACAAATCCTAACTCAGGGGAAATTCCAATTTTTTTCAAATCGTCTGCACATTCTTGAAATCTGATAGACATATTTGGTGGAAAGTCAATTGTTTTGGAAAAATCAGCGCTTACAGGACACTCGATCGTAGCCATAATTTGTTAATGTAACTGTAAAAAAAAAAAAAAAAAATTAAAAACACAAAATACTGTAATTTAAAACAATGAACGATATCAGTTCTTTTAATTTATTTTCGAATTGTAAATGTTCGTTTCCACATGGTAAAGGTTGGTGAACTGGTAAGTTCGCAAGGAGAAAATTTCTGGTTGTGCGGCCGTCTTACCATGGAGGTATTATTGAGAAGGAGATCACTCGGAAAAGCTACGCGCACGCAGCGCTATGCAAATGAACCAAGATCAAAGTTGCCGCAGCGCGTAAAGAACGTTTGCGCGATGCCTTTGAAGTCCCATGTGTTCCCCGCCATCAAAT